ATAAAACAATTGATTTATCAGTTGCATCAAAATTTTCAAAATTAAACAAAATATTAACTGGTAAAATCCTATTTTTTTAAACATTGATTTTATATTTTAATTAATTATTAATTTAATATTAACTGTGTATATATATTTATTTATATATAAAAGATGCTATATAAATAATAAACTATTTATTGTCATTAATAAAAGCTTGCAACATTTACTAATAAATAAAAATCCAATTTTTAAAAAAATAGAGTTATTTGTAATTTTACAAAAAAAAATGTTTTCTGACAATTTTTCACATGGTCTTTTTTATTTAATGGTTGCAACAATATTGTGCTTTTATTACTAGTTGGCCTCATATTCTTCAAGGTTAAATTTGGTTTATAAAATTTTTTATTAAATTTGATATATGTATTGTTATCATTTTATTACAAAATCAAAAAGATCCACCTGATGCAATTTTAGGCTTATAAAAAAGATACCAATCCCAAAAACATGAATTTGGGAGTTGGTGCCAATAGAGATGACCATATGTTTTGAATTCTGTCAGAAAGGTTCAATTAAATTAAATTAAAATATTTAATCTCCATTGATGAAATTAACATGTAAAAAAAAATTGATTTATTATTTATTATTTTAAAGGAGAAAAAAATTACTTGATAAGGATATCTTCATATTACCAGTCTTTCTAGTTTACTAAAGGTGCAGCTCTTTTGGCTTACAGTAAAGATTCTGAACCTTTAAAAATGGATTAGTAAGCTGATGAACTTTTGCTAATAAAAGGTTTCTTTTTAATAAGTATAATTAACTAAAACGCATTTTCTTTATAGATTTCAATCACTCAATCAATTTCAGGAACAGGAGGAGCTCTTAAAATTAGAGGAGTGTTTTTATCTAGATATTATCCATATGTTAAAAAAATCTATTCACCTAAACCAACATGGGGCAATCATAATGCTGTATTTAAAGATTCCAGTTTAGAAATAGATTTGATTTTAATGGATTGCTAGGTATTAATTAATTAATCAATAATAATATGTTTCTTTATTGTTTTTTGTTGATTATTTAATTATTACTACTAATAATAATAACATGTATGATTAGTACGCACAAAAAACTCAACCTTTTTGTTACATGCCTGTGCACATAATCCAACAGGAGTAGATCCAACCCAACAACAATGGTAAAATTATAAAATTGCCTAAACTATATGGAACATGCTGCAACAAAATCAGACAAAGTGAACATTGGTGTTACCAAAGATTTCAGGTGTTTGTTTAATAATAATTTCCGCGAATATGTATTATTATGCTTTATTTTCAAAACTATCATTAATATTAAACAAAGGCCCTAAATAAATCCATAAAAAAATTAAAAAAAATAAAAATATAAATAAGGGAAAATAATTATACACGGGATTAGTATGAAGACTAGCCATTTTGTTACTTCATTGTTAAAGATAGGTTTGTTGTTATTATAAAATACAAAAATCAAAGGCAACAACAAGAACAACGACAACGACAAGGGCAATGACAATGACAATTTTTTAGTATGCTTATCAGGTACATATGTTTTTTTAAGATGATCAGGGTAATTGCATACGTTCATTTATATGTTTTAAAGGTTCAACCATCTGGTTCCCTTACTCTGGAAACTCTTGGTGATGTAGTATTTTGTTCAAATTTAAGACCATCCTTTTAAGAAAAATCCCAAGTTCTTTGAAAATAAAATTTTAGAATTAATATTAATGATGAATGTTTGTTACCGATTTTGTCATCTCCCATTTATTTTCAAGTTTGATAAATAAAAGACTTTATTCTTGGAGGCAAACATTATTTTTTCACTATATCATCTAATAAAAGTTTTTGTAAAATCCAAAATACATATCAATAAAAAAATAACGGCAGAAGAATTTTAAACATGAAATTAAATATATAAACTTTATGATTATGCATTAATAAAACCATGTCATTAAACACTTTAAATTGATTCATGAATGCTATTATTTTGGTTTATGATGTTATTTAACTAAAAATTAAATTATTAAGATATGAAATTTCTATAATAAACTGATCAGCGTATTCTTTTTTGGGAATTCTTGAAGAACAACCACAATCACAACCTTTTTCTAAAAAATCAATTGCTTTTTGATATTCATTAGAACCATTATATTTACTATTACTTTTCATATATACACTTATTCCTATATATATAATTTTGTGTTCACTTTGTAGGTTTTTGAAAATTGAGATGAGAGAGAGAAAGATAGAAATCATTCAAAGAACAAAATATTTAAGAAGGTAAACAATTAATAAATATTTTTAATACTTTATTTTCATCAATAACAATTTATAAAAGAATTATTTAAATAATTATTTATTTTTCTATATTTTATTTGAATCAAAAAGAGAGAGAAAAAAAAAACTTTTTTAACTTTTCCTTTGAACATGAATGATGCATTTTACATATGCTACACTAAATCACAATGTTTATTAAATACATTGATATCATCATTGACATAACAAACAATTGCATCACCCAAGTAGTAATGATACCAAGGCTGTGCAAAAATGAAAATTTTAACAATGTGTGTGTACCCAGATCTCTGGGGTTCACAATAATAATTTATTTTTCCTGATTGTCAATTATGGTTCCTTATGAATAATAAATCTGATGTTGATTGCAGGTGTCAGATTTAATTAAATTTTCCTGTCACAAACAAGCAAGCGCTATGCAATCAAGCACAATTCAGCACCATAGAATTTTATTCCACAGGTGAAAGTGACTTGAACAAGTTGGAAGGCTTTGGACAAAATTTTTCTTTATCTTCCTCTCAGACCAGGCTGGCTGTCACTGGGTTGCTGACTTGTTGGTCTCACCAACAACCCTAACCCAATTAAATAACAAATTCAGTTGGTCAAACAAAAATTTAAAGGGCAGAGAATTTATGAAAATGATTAATTTATGTATAACATACCAAACAAAATCCGAACCATTTTATAACTTTTTTCTTGTTGGCCATATTGCTGGCAAAGATATATATAATCATGTAATAATTTTAATCTATAGGACAGGGCAAACCCCCATTCAATCCCCCCAAAATTATAAATTGGTTAGTATCAAAGAAACAGAGAATTAATGAAAATAATTATACAAACAAACACTATTTTACAACTTTCCTCTTAACATCAGAGCCCAAATGCAATTTCAGGGTCACCAACCCCACCCTGAATTGTAACTTCCTGTGCTTGAAACGAGTTGCAGATTCTTTTAATATTCCTCCAGAGTTGCGACCTGGTTACAGAGCCATCCTTACCCTAGAGGTAGGATTGTTGCAGGCAACTTTTTGGCTAACATGCCAGCAGCCTTCTCTGGTTTGGGAAGATTATCAAGTGTCATTGACAATTGATGCAGCCTCGGTAAACTCCAGGGCCATGCGCCTCCCCCCTGAAATTCAGTTGCATCATATCCATAGGGCGTCGCTGGTCAGATTAGCCTTGTGTACACGAGAAAGACATGTGAATGACTGTAAAGTGTTCAAGGTAGCGTGCGTGCTTCAACGTCTGCTAATTTCCAATAATCAAACACCACATATCGAAATGTTTCTTTTTCAATGGTGTACTGCCTTGACATCTTGTAGTTAAATTATATTAATATTATTAACGATTATGCAAAGTAAAATACCAATCGTTTGTTCATCTTATAATTACCCAGCAAGCTCTGTTCCGCGTTTTGATTCCAATAAAAATATTTATAAAATAAAAGACACATCAATACAAAAAAAAAAATAGTAAAAATATATATATCAATACAAATAAAAAATAGTACCTCTGGTTAGTTATTAACACGTCTTCAGAACCAAACAACAACACTCATGTTTCCTCGCCTTTGTCAAAAATAAGATTGTTTTTCCAAAAAAAAAAAAAAAATCAATTCGAAAAAAAAAAATCCTTGTGCGACACCAAGTGCCAATAACAATAATTTATTTTGTTTTACGTGTTCCTTTTTTTTTTTTTTTAACTAATTTTTATTTTTACAATGAAGAGAAAATATAACAGAAGAAAAAACGGAGACGAGCATGGCGAGGCGGTGTCTGGTAAGTGTTTGTCAGTGGTGCTCGATTATGCGTAGTTGTACTCAATATTGAGCGATTTAGTAATGAAAATTAATTAATGAATCTTCTGCTTTATTGTTAACATTTCTGGGATCTTCAACAAAAAAAACTAAAAATAAATCATGAAAGACAATTGCATATGGTAGGCCTTATAATAAATTGATCTTTTTGATGGAATTAATTTGTTAACTTTTTGAATTTATTTTGTCTTCTAGGAAGAAGGAATGTTGGGAAATGGATTCAAGAAACCGTTAGTTAAAGAGAAAAGAATACCTATGAAGCATATTATGGAGAATAAATCTTTAGAAGACAGTAATGTACACGAAGTTGACAGCTCTAATTGTATTTCTGAAGGTAAGTAAATGTTATATACTTCGTAAGTATTTTATAACACAGCTCATACATTTCGTTTGACTTTGTAATATATGTTTCAGATTCTGCATTAAACCCGGATATTAATACAACCAGTAAGTATCTTTATTTTTAATAAGTTTATTCTGTAAGCTCATTCATTGTTTGTCATATGTTGTGAACGTAGCTTACTTTTGCATTACAATTTAATCCTTGAAAATTCTAACCAAAGGCTGATAAAGAAAACAATGTATGACGAAGTCAAAAAAGAACATTAGATCCCCAGTGTGGAGATGAAAATCATAAAAGGTCTAGGTAAGCCTCTTTGTGTTGATTTTATACTTGCAATTCATGTCTGATTCTAGTCACTAAAAACCATTTCATGAAGGATGAAATAGCAATCAATGATACAGTATGTATTGTTATATTTTATAATCCAGATTTTTTATCAAGTTTTATCAATGCTATCAGTTCCTAACTTTCATAAATTTTTGACCAATAGCAATTCACACAAATTCCTACTATCAATAATATCGAAAAAGATACACCAGAAAGCCCTTTGATTTTCACACCAAATAAACCGATAATTTCCAAACATATGTATGATCAGTATTCGTCGGCATACATTATTTGTGCATTTCATTCTGCCATCAATTATATCGAGAAATCAAACAATTAATAGGAAAGATTGAAAATTTATTTTTAGATAACAGTATTGTAAAGAAGTTGGAATCCATATTCGATGCAGATCCTAGTGTCGTTGGATCAAAAATAATATTGGAAACAACAACACACTATAGCGATCAATCAGAAACCGGAAGGTTTCTTTTTTTATTAAACATTCTTTTTTAGCCTTTACGTCAAATTTCGAATATAGAAATCCAAAAATTTTTGATCGTGAAATCTCTGAGCGAACATTTACTGTTGAATGTATGTCTCCAATATTCAAGTCATTCAGAAATGCATTTCCGGAAATCAAGTACGATTGGATTGAAAAAGAAGTGGATTCAATTAAGATTGCCAATAAAATGTTTATGACGCAAGCTAGATTAAGAAAGACTGACCTTCTTGTCACCCATTTGGTAGATGGCAAAGAGATTGTGGATGTTGAGGTTTCCGGTCCACCTTATAATCCACAAGAATCACATACAGTAGGAGATATAAAAAAATTGTTGATGATGGCAGTCTGTAATTTGTGCTGCATATTTGGAAATGATCTTAATTGCAAGATTGAAGATGCAAAAAAAATCAAATCATTTAGTATACAAGTAATTGGGGATAGATTAACACTTTTTTTCGGGTTCACTATTTGATAAAAGGAAGTATTTGGCTGTGGAACTTGCATCTTGCATAATTCCATTTTCTTTAGATTCGATAGTGTACTTTTTGAAAATCTTTAATTTTTTTCAAATTCTAAAAAATGAAATTTTTGAACAAAAGGAGTTTAGGAAAAAAATTATGATCAATACACCAGAAGAAGACAAAATGAAAGTACAAGATTGGTTACATTTTCCAGATCCTAGTTTAAAGCCATTGCCAGATTTTTTAGATGCTATCACCATTTAATGTGAGTAATATAAAATAATCAAAATTTTAGAAATGAAATTATATACACATACAGTATATTACCATATTTTAAGCTTTTCTTGATCTTAATAATAATAATAAAGTTTTAATTGCTTTGTTAATTCGTTTATCAACATATAAAAATTAAATATTTTCATAGATTTCAATTTCCTTACTAATTAACGTCATAGCGGATTTCTTGTCACAACGGATTTGAACAATCCTTTTTTTTTACTAATAGTCATGTGATATTTCCCTTGATTATATATATAAAAATAGAGAGTGATATATAACACATTAATTAATACATGCAGCCCAAATTATTGTTACGCGTGCCGTAATTCAATTTTTGATCCCTGAAATTCTTGGTAATACCAATGCTCACTTTGTCTGGTTCTGTTGAATCCATTAAAACATTTTTCCTATACAGTGATAATAATAATAAATAGTAGTAGCAAAGTGATTTCATTTTATTTTCTTTCCTTAAGCCATAGTACCATAGTAGTTATATTGATTATAAATATAATTATTGTAATTTATAAAGGGGATAAGACCTTATTATTTATAATTTTACAATCCCTTAACAATAACAAAAATAACAATATAGAATTTGTTGTATCAAATCATGAATTAATACTTTATATTTTGTAAAATGAATAAAACGAAATAATATCACAGAAACCACCTCTTGCCATTAATATCAAGTTAATGCTAACCACAAATAATGTCAAATGACAATCAACCATTCTTTGTTATATAAATGTAATGAAATGAAATCTTCCTATTGTAACAATTTTAAATATTATTAACTAATTTAATAATCCTAAATCTTGATATTTTTTTAATGTTTTCATTATTGCATCATGTTCATTACAAAATTTCATTGTTAAAGGTTTAGGTTCTCTCCAATTCTTCATTAAAATATTTAATGAATAGTCACTAATATTATAAGCCCATAAACACAAATCATTCCTAATTTTTTTGGTAGTGTTTGATTTAACACCATTAATATTTTATCACCATCAAGTCCATAAAATCCATCTTTGCCAAAATAACCCAAATGAGAATCATTAAAAGCATTAACAAGTACAATACTTTTTAACTTTGTACAACTATTGAGTACTCCTATTAATTCCTGATCAAACTCATCATCATAAAGTGTTGATAAATTTTCTAAATTTATACAAGATTGTGCAATTGATTTAAATAGCTTCCTCATAAATTTGCCATCCCGAGTGTTATAGTTTTCCTTATTAAAATCAACATCCAGATTTTTAATTGTTTTTCCATTGATATTAATAAAATCAGACAAAGTCTAATAGGAATGATTGATATGCAACACATACCCTCACAGTTTCAATACTTGGCAGCGAAATATTTTTCAAATTATTTAATCTATAATCAACAATTGTTGATAAAGTCTCTAAATTTTTAAATGTTGGTATTAATGAATTTTCCAAATTAATCTCTCCATCAGATTCATAAGAAGTTATTGATTGTGAATGTGTTAGTATTGCTTCTTTTAATTCATCTGGTAAAATTTGTTCATTTTCTGCTTCAATAATTAAATATTTAATTTGCTTTTGTGCTTTAATTAGCTGTGGCAATTTATATATATATTTATCATTACTATTGTAATATATTTTTAATGATTGAATATTTTTACAAACATTTAATAATTTATCAAAAATTTCACTATTAACAGAACTAAAACATTCTAATTTATAAAGATTCTGAAAGATATTATCAAATCTATGATGATTAATTAACAAATTACAATCTATATAATTAATAGTACTACATACTCTAATACCTGCTGAATGGTCTAAAATAAATTCTACTAATTTATTTTTGTAAAATTTGTGATGCACCAATTTTTATCAGTATTTGAAAACCATAATAATCAGAAGGACTAGTACTAAATCTGGCATAATTATATAACAGTGGTTTCTCCAATAGTTCCAAAGTTAATCCAATGTGATTTCTAGTTAAGAAATCCTTATCTTCTTCCAATAAACAATTAATTATTTTGATGCTGTCTTCACAAACAAAAATGGATTTTTCCATAAAGTTGAAATATTAATATAATGCCATTGTTTGTTGACAAGAATACAAGAATATAATGTTTTATAGTCATCTTTGATGTATTTGGATATTTTTAGTTAAAAGTTCAGGTGGCAAATCGAACATTTTTTTTTTAGGTAGAAAATAATATAGTTTTTATAAAATATTTAAAGTCTGTCAATCACTTTGTTGATCATTAAATCAACCAATAAGAATGCAAAATCATAATCAACAAATTAATTCGTGTTACCATTGTTAATCTGATCCTCTGATAATTATAATTGTGAAAATGGAGTAGTGATCTCGTAAAATCACCAGCGAAATTAAAGATATCACTTTTTTATATGAGTTTAATTATAATTTATTCGAGGTCATATGAATTGATCGACGAGGGGTCGAATTTTTCCCAACCAAATTTGGAAATCTCCCTTACTGTACTGTAACGTATCAAGCAAAATTCGTTAATTGATTGGTTGTTGCATTTGTATATCAATTCCAAATTTATACAATCCCGCATTGTCAAATTTTAGCCCCTGAAATCTTTTGATTCCTTGCATTCAAAAATTATAACTTCTTTAATTAACTTTTTTCAATAAACAAAAAATTATTTTTTATTTATTTAACTATTTTTATTTTACAACTTCTTTTTATTTAACAACTTTCTTTTGACAAGCTCAAGAAATTTATTTTATTTATCAAAAAAACTTATATAAATAATCTAAATTTATATATTTTTTTTTTTTAATCCTTAATCTGCACTCTTTTGTTTGAAGTTGGTTATTTATTTATAGTGGTTTTTCACACACACACACATCCACCACACACACACATACGTAAAATATATCTAAAAAGGTTTGAATTTTTATAGTTGTTTTTTTCTCGTTTTTTTTTTTTTTTTTTGATTTTGTTTATTCAAAATTTTGCCTGAACTAGATTTCGACGATTTCTCATTAACAAGCAAACTGTCAGACTATACAGTTATTAACACAACAACAGAAATGAATAATGGAGAACTTGGTAAGTAATCATTACATTTTACATATAATAAATAAATTTATCAATTAAAGAATTATTTATAACGAATCTATATTCAGTTTCAAATAGTCAAAAAGTGGTTATTTATTGTTAAATTTTTTTTTACAATAAATATATACTTTTTACATTATAATTTATAACTCTTTAAACCCAAACCTGTAATATATATATTTATATATATATATATTTGACATGTATGATTTTTATTAAATTTATAAATTTATTTATTAATAAATTTATAGTAGATTCGGGTACAGTCAACTCCCTTAAACAACAAGTTCATAATCTTCGACACGATCTAGCAGAAAGAAATGCATTGCTTAATACAGTACAAAAGCAACTTAATAATAATAAACGTCAACCAAATTCATCAAATGTTATAGCGACCAACGAATCTACGACTGGTAGATTTATTGAGCATTTACAAGTTGAAATAGACAATTTAAGAAAAGAATTAAATGAATCGAAAACTCAAGCTCAAACTGCAAAAATTTCTCGTGAAAAATCTGAACGACAAGTACAAGAACATACGGCAACACATCAAACTCTAAGGCTTGAGATTGATTCATTGAAAAGGATGCTTGAAAGAAAAGAAAGACAGACAAAAGAGTTGGAGGAATCATCACGAGATTATGAAAAAAAAAGTACATATATGAAATTTGAACGTGATAATGCAAGCACTAAGCTTCGACAAGCAGAATTGAAGGTATCCGATTTGGAAAGAAAATTATCCGAAGCTTTGGCTTGTAAAGAAAAAGCTGAATACGAGTATAAACTTTTATCTAAAGAAATGCAAAGTTTCAAAGCTAGATACGCCAAAGATGTTGAAACTGTTAAACAAGAGTTTAAAGAGCTTCGCCAAGAATTAAATTCAACTTCAAGACATCTAGAGGATGTTGTCTTAATGGCAGGTGTACGTGTCGAAGAATTAACGTCTGAACGTAAAGTTAATGTGGATAATTTAGAAAGTGTTTATTCCAAATTGAAAGAAAACCAAGAAAAATACACAGCAGAACTAATTAAAGAAGTGAAGGAAATAAAAATAGATGTAGAAAACACGAGTAAAAAAACTGATGAATATGCAGATCAAGTCAGCAAAATGAAAGGTGAAATAACTGGAAAATTAAATTGGTTGAAACGTGTTGAACGTGTTCAACAAGAAGGCTGAGAAAATAAAAGTTAAGGATAAATATATTTTTTTAAATTATTAAAAAAAATTAGAATAATAATTATAATTATAATTGACAATATAATTGAATTAATAACAATTTTTGAGTTCTATTTGTTTTATTATTTAATTAAATAGTTAAATTTGTAGACTCTAGGTGTAGATTTAAATATTTAAATATTAAATTAGTTAATTAGTATATGAATAATTTAGTTATTTTGGGTTTTTTGAGGGTTACAATATGACGATGTATTTATATAATAATAATGATATACAAAAAAAAATATTTATTTATTTAATTTATAATAATAATAATAATAATAATAATAATAATAATATTTTAAATAAATATTTTTATTTGCTATCTTTTATTTTTTTTATTTACTATTTAATTAATATAACAAATGGACCTGGACATTCTATTCTTTTTTATCGTAATAATAATGATACGAGAATAATGGTTTTTTTAAAAAATATTAGTAAAATCAAATTGATTAATTATTAAAAAATAATATATATATAATAATGGTAGTTGGTTGATAAGAATTTTGATAAAAATTATTCATTGTTCGTTATATATTAAATATTCTCGTTGATCCTATATGGACAATGACATTTCTATAACACCTATCGATATCAAGAAACACAACTAATTAATAGGCATTTATGTTTGGATAAGAATTAGCGACCATGCAAGAATATCTAAAGGTATGTCTTGGCATTTCTATCAGATATAAATCTTCAATGAACAATCTCGGTAAATACAATTTAATTTTTTCTGTGTAATAACATATAAAGAACACCATCATGTTTGGCCTTTGATCTTTCATTACACTATTCATAATAAGTGTTGAAATCTAATATCAGTAAAAAATTTATATTTACTTAATTTAGAATGATATGTATAAAATTTAACATATCGGCTTATTTATTTTTAGATCTATACCAAATGTTCTTTATCATTAAAAGTTTCTGCGATTAGTGGATTTGTAATCTTGTCACTATAACGAGAACCAGCAACACCACAATCAAATAGAACACCTCTATTTCGATGAGTTATGTATGGCATAAAGTCAATTGTATAACAATTAGATAAGAAGCCTATCATTATATCATAGTCATATAGACATTTTGACCAAAATCAGGATTATGACAATAATTCACAATGGGTTTTGGAAGTGGTTGTGCCTCATAACTGATACTTGATAATTCACCACAAGTTTTAGAATACCTTTATCACCATATTTGTTTAATAAAAGTTTTTATTATCCGTTTTTTTTGCACAGGACCTTTCTCTTTTCGCGAACTTTTGTATTGTATCGTTCCTTCCTAAAAATATTCAATACTATCTTCAGCAGACGGTTCTACCTTATTGTTTTAAAAGGAATGGAATGGATTAAGTAATATGTATTTCTTATTTAATTTAAAAGCGCTCTAAAATCTGGACTAGTACTTGTCACCTTTCTTCATTTTGATTCAGGTAATTAATTGTTAATAATTCTTTCGCACGAGGAAAATTATCCATTGAAAAGAGAAATGACAACATGATAAGTTCCAAGATAATATAAAGTTATATATAGTAATGTATTAGGTCATACGGGATCCAAGTATTAATATATTAATTTAACATTACTCAGTAAATTACTAACGATGACTAGATCAGTCGAGTGTTAGCAGAAATAAATAATACCTAATTTACTTTTTTTAATAAAAACTCGCGAGAAAATTTTCGCGAAACCATTAAACTTGTAATTTTTATTTCTCATTACATTATTATTATTAATACATGACAAATATCTTACTTATTTTTATTTAACGCCTTCTCTAATAATTTAAGAATCTCATCAGAATTACTTTTACTAAAATCTGGACAATCTTCCATGCTCACACCAATATATGGTCCCTCATGATCTCTAATATTAAGTTTTAATGGTTTAACTGACAAAGAGCATTTATTATCTTCTTGACCTTGACATTCTATTATAGCATCAGTTGGCGCTTTAGCAGGATCTGATATCCAAAATTCACTACCACTGTGTTTATAGTCGAGGAATTTTGGTGGTAATCTTGGTACTGCATCTTCAAAATTTACTATACGATTGAGTTTAAGTTGACTATCAACAAAATTAGCAAATTCTTGATTTCCAATACGAGGTAAACCATATGTGAAAATAAATAAATTTTCTTCAGAAACTAATTTTTTATTATTTTGTACCAAATCTAAGGCCGTAAGTGTTGCAATGGCTTTTTTTGTCAAAAACAAAATATTAAATATTAAAATATTAATATATAGATTGATTAAATAAATAAATAAGCAAATTAGTTTAATGAATAAAATTTATCTTACCACCGCCTAAACTATGACCAGTTAGAACAACTTTAAAATCAGGATTTGTCTCCATGAAATTTGTTACTTCCTCAATAACATCTTTTCTTGATTCAAGAAATGCTTTAAAGAACCCTGTATGAACTTTCGCATTTGGTGCTGGAGGATAAGGTCTCAACACTAATGATCCATCTGTCAATATATTTCTAAAACTTGTCCTTACGGTTCCTCTATAAGAGACAATGAGTTGCTTTGATGTAGAATCTTTAGCAATAAAAACTGTAAATTTCGAAAATTAGTAATCGTAATAATAATATAATAGTAACAATAAGATTTTTTTAATTCCTTTTTACCTTGAGTGTCTGTTTTGGGAGCGGTAATTACTTTAATAACAACAGTTTCTGGCACTGTTTTACAAGTTGGACAATCCCATTTAACAATATCTTCAACTCTGCAATAAGCTGCACTAGCGTAATTTGCAAATGTTGTAAAAGTTTTTATTTGTTCATTTGATATTGACTTTATTTTGCTAACTGGTCTTGCATTAGTACTTTGAATAACTGATGACAAAACCAACAAACATATCAAAACCATCAATATCAATGGAGTATTTTGATTACGGAATTGTTTACTAGAATAATTAGTAGCCATTGTCTTGTTTATTTATAAATTTTATCTACTTTCTAATTAAAGTCTATTTTTAAATCAGTTTTCTAAAATTTAAAGGATAGAATGATGGATGAATGTATGGATGGATGGATGGATTAATGGATAGAGGATGGAGTAAGGAAGGAATAAATGTGTAGATGGATTAAGTGAAGGTGAAGATAAGATCAAATACAATACAATTGTATATGAAAGGAATGTGAATATAGAATATGGTAAAAATAAGAAATTAGTTGATGGAAAATGATTTCGAAACGATTATTTTTACGCATATTTATATATAAATATTTTTTCTTTTATGCATTTGTGCTTTTTACGGTTTTATACATCATCGGCTATTTTTGTTGCGTGAACAATGTCCGTGTAACCCCGAAGTTTTAATTTTGTTTATAATTAATATTAGCTTTGTTTTATAACTTTGGTAAATTAATAAATCAGACACTGGAGTACATAATTTTTAATACATTGTTTGTTTATATCTTCCTATTTTAGTAAAGAATGGACAATAAAGACGTCAATTCAAAAAAATAGGTCATTTTGCAAGTGTAAAAAATTTTTTCATTGGTCAAAACTACTTTTACGTGATATTTTCCACTCAAAATTTTGTGTAGTGCAATATATATATATTAATATGTTTTAACAACTGACTAAATTTAGTATTATAGTGAGTGGTGTTGGTTTTAAAAGACCGAACGAATTATAGTCTTATAGGACCAGCAGATCTCTCTTAATAAGGAAATTTTGAATAAAATTTATTTTGTCTTCGTTTATCCTAAAATTCAATGTAATAATAATAAATAATTTTGTTAAAATATTACTATATTCCAAAGTTTTATGGATATGTGATTCAGCCTTTTTCGTTTTAATATTTTTTATATTTGAATTTTTATTTTTATATTTTTATTTATTTATAACTCATTTTTATTATTTATTTCTTTATTGTCCGTTTATAAATTCAGAGAGTAACCTTTTATAAAAAAAGTTATTATATATACTTTGTCTTGTAAGATAAATTTTTTTTGTGTATACAAACAAATAAAATAAATCTCTGATGTTGTCCTTATGTGTAACATTTATTAAAATTCCTTTTGTTTGTATTGCCCGAGCCTTGGATAATAATTTCCGCGAACATGATTTATCGAAACTATCCATCATTATTGTTCATTTCAGATTAATCAAATATAAATTCATTAAATAATTCACTTTCTAGAGCTACTCCCTAAATAAATCCATAAAATAAAAATAAAAATAAAAAGAAATAAAGAAAATATAAAACAGAGGAAAATAATTATACACGGGATTAGTATGAAGACTAGCCATTTTGTTACTTCATTGTTAAAGATAGGTTTGTTGTTATTATAAAATACAAAAATCAAAGGCAACAACAAGAACAACGACAACGACAAGGGCAATGACAATGACAATTTTTTAGTATGCTTATCAGGTACATATGTTTTTTTAAGATGATCAGGGTAATTGCATACGTTCATTTATATGTTTTAAAGGTTCAACCATCTGGTTCCCTTACTCTGGAAACTCTTGGTGATGTAGTATTTTGTTCAAATTTAAGACCATCCTTTTAAGAAAAATCCCAAGTTCTTTGAAAATAAAATTTTAGAATTAATATTAATGATGAATGTTTGTTACCGATTTTGTCATCTCCCATTTATTTTCAAGTTTGATAAATAAAAGACTTTATTCTTGGAGGCAAACATTATTTTTTCACTATATCATCTAATAAAAGTTTTTGTAAAATCCAAAATACATATCAATAAAAAAATAACGGCAGAAGAATTTTAAACATGAAATTAAATATATAAACTTTATGATTATGCATTAATAAAACCATGTCATTAAACACTTTAAATTGATTCATGAATGCTATTATTTTGGTTTATGATGTTATTTAACTAAAAATTAAATTATTAAGATATGAAATTTCTATAATAAACTGATCAGCGTACCATAAAGTGTGTGCTTACAGATTCGTCGAAGCTTTCCAGATACAAGAAGGAGGCAGCAAGCAGAACAACTTCGTAAAATAAATTAATTGACGAGCTTTGACATAAAAGCTTGAGAGTGTAGCTAAAAAGTTAACTGGAACTTGGCCATAAAACGTAAAATAATCGAGTTGACCAAAAAGCTACTTTCGAATATGCAATTCACATCAAAATACTATTGGGTTAGCCTTTAAACAATCTTTAACCAGACTAAAAAACCGGTCTTTAGGACCGAGACCGGATCAATACAACCCTAATTTACTTTGAGTTTAAACACAAGAAATGTCACAACGTGGCTACTATAGAGGAATCACAATGCAAATGTTAACCTAGTCACATTTTCCGATTTTTCCCAAGAATATACTAGTACTAGTAAAACATGTGGATATCGTAGACTCATCAACAAAAATCTGGTTCTCTTAAAGTATATTTGCAAATCAACTATCGGTAGAAATGTAAAATGACCCCAGAAACTACATAGATAGGTTACTATTACTCTTTTCTGGGTAAATTTAGTCAATATAAAAAAATTTGAAAGGTTGGAGAAAATTTTGGGTAAATTAATATGGATGGTTTGAAGGGTTAGAACTTTTGTAAGGTGATAAAATGAGTAAATCGAATACAATCCTCATTTTTGGGTAATATTATCAGGGTGCAAAATTCCAATTGAAGTTTATTAGAAAATTTCCGGAAGCAATAGATTTTTCTTTTGGTAGAGGTAGCTCAAGGTATATTTTATAAATGTCAATACTTCCAATGCCTTCTTTGTATAAAATAAAAAATTATTATTTTGATATTTACAGTTTATAAATAAATGATTTATTAAATCTAGAAGAAACTTCTAATGATATTATTTTTGATGCTGAACTTACTGAACTGAATTACGAAAATGAAATGAAAATCAATTGAATAAAAAATAAAAATCAATGCTCACAAACAAAAATGTTTATCTGAATATAAATGGCACATTGTTGTATTCAACATAAAAGAAAAAATCAATTTGCTCAAGAAGGTTTGTAATAGAATTATTTCTAATGTTTAAGAAAGTCAGCAATAAAAATCAACCCAATCCAAGGATCTACAACGAGGGTGTTAACCTTACCATTTGAGACGTTGATCTTAAGGTTAAACCTCTTACTAGTAATCTACTAATTAAAATTGGGTTACACATAACCGCCAAACCATCCAGACGCCCCTGTTGGAAGGTTGACATGTATAATTGTGATTAATAATAATTATTATTCTTAATGTCAATGATCCACAAGGTGTCAGAATTTGCAAGTTTAGAATCTAATGGATCAAACCTTATAAGATTCATCTAAAATCAACTAGAAATAAATTATATTATTTAATTAGAATTTGCAAATGATAATAATAATAATTTACATATATATATTGCAAATATTTACCCTAAATCTAATCAAGTCAATTAAACAAAATCTTATGTAGCAAAACCAGAAAATCATTTAGAAGGATTTATTGAAAAGAGCTTGTGTTTTGGGTAGGTATGGGGAGTTTGGTTTTGTGGAACCTAAAGATGAAAACCACAATTAGCTGCAATTCAATTTTCATATGCTGCAACTGTAACCACAGCCACGATCAATTTTTAGATGCTACAATTAATTGAGAAGCAATCTTTAGTGGAACCAGTCAAACAGTTAATGGTGCCAATCTATAATCTTGATTAATCAATATTCTCTTAATTTCTACAAATGTATTGACTAATGTTAATATTATTTTTTTAAGATCTAAATGAATAAATATATTTATTAGTTACATTATTCAATGTTTTAAAAAATTGTGATTTTATACCCATATGCATCTCAGATACAACGGTGCATACATTATGTGGATATTCAAATCTAATTCCGTTTAATTTTATATGAATAAGTTGTACTTGGAATAAATGCAATAAATAGTTCAATAAATAATTTACATTAAGCTTTAATATCTATCAGACAAGTGGCAGAGTTTTGGCAGTTATTAGTAAGCAATCTTAATCCAATCCAATCTAAAATTAAATTTGTAAATACAGACATAGTTTACTTTAATATCCAGAATAAGGGATTTCATGTACATTCTAACACATTTTTTTTATCTTTGTTATGTCTTTCGCTATTTGCATCACTCGAAATCAAAATTATTTTTTAAAAATTCATGTTTTTGTACCTTTTATATAAAAAGATACTTTTTATTGAAGAATAAAATGTTGAGTATTGGTGCATATAAGATAGAAAGAATATGCAACTCAGGATATGACTCAGTGAAATAACTTTCATTTCTTTAAATAAATTCCAGCTGAAATTCCAAAAATAAATGGTTATAATGAATGTTGAAACCATTTTTTAAATCTTAGTATGTTTTTTTTTGATTATTCTTAATAGTCGCAGGACATTGCGGATCTACAGGGGGTCAAGTGTCACTCATATATAAAATTAATGATCTTCGTGCATAATTTTATATGTAAAATCGAAGGAAAAAATCCGATTTAACCAAGATTGTTTCTTGAATTATAAAAAATAAAAATTTATGGAAATCCCTTTATTTTGACATATTTTTTGCCAGGGCAAACAAATAAGACTCGAAGAAAATCTTAACATGAAGTTGGTCTACCCGTTTTATAAGTTCTATAATAATAAATTAAGAAATTGGATAGATGTACACAATTTCAATCTTTGGACTTAATTTTTTTTACATAACAATAAGCATAATAGTTAAGTTCTAATTTCCAAACATTATTTTTAAATTGCATAAATTTGTTTATAGAAAAGTATTAACATAGCTTCAAATTTTGCTTTTTTAAACGAATATGAATTCGCGTAACAGATCTTGATTATTAATATTAATATTAGTTATTTTAAAGATTATTTTTATACTATTATTAATTTTTTTTACCAATTAGTGTAATGAAACATTTTGATACAACTCCATATTAATATATATATATTATTATTATTATTATTATATTATTATATCTCAATTTAG